TATTCTTTTTTAATAAAATTGTTTTTTTTGGGGGTGGTTCCCAAGACTCCGTAAAAAATCTCAATATTTATAATCAAAGGTGGGGCGGGAAATTGCGGTTTGAAATTTATGGATTACCTTGAAACACTCCCTTTTTGGTTAAAAGGATTTTTTCAAGCCATTCATTTTCAACAGGGATATTACCCATTTTCTTCCACTCATTTAATAAACCCCTTTGGTCATATTTAAAATGGGTTACTGTTAACAGTCACAGGTATACAGTCAGCCCCAGCTCCAGATTTTTTTTTTTTTTTCACCAGATACGACACCATGCATACGAGCCGACAAAGCTACCACATATGAAGTATACTGGGAATCTAAAACCAAATACCCACCAGCCAACATGGCCTTACCAGGAGCACTATAACCTCTAGCATTCATCATCTTGTTCAAATTGTATAATCCCAAAAAGCTTAAAACAATTCCAGTAAAGAGCTTATCAACTAATGATCAAATAACGGAATGGAAACAAAATCAACTAATATTCCACCTACAAAGCTCCAAAAACTTTCAAAAAACCACCAAATACAATAGAAATCAAATGAAAACAACTACAACAGTCCTATGGCCACCGTTAACCATCTCATCTATTCATTAATACCTTCCAAATATTGATTACCATTGTTTGAACTATCTTCATATTTGGATATTTTTTCAATAAAGGTCAAACATGATATAAAAATTGGGAACTTGACCTTTAAAGTAAGATCGAGTATAAATAACAGGATTGGAAAGGAGTTTATAGGAGTTTATGGAGGGAATCTAGTAGGCTAGGAAGGGGCAATAGTGAATATAGTGATTGGAATGAGTAGTTCTGGGGTTGTTTTCAGTTATTTTGACCCTTTTGCTGTGTTCGATAGCGTTAAGAATGAGTTTTTACAGGTTTTCCCGTTTAAAAACATTCATTGGAAGACTTCAAGTGGATTAGTAAGGACTATTGAGAATTTACAAGTTAGGTTGGCGTCTGAGGATGGTGAATCGAATGGTGAGGATCCGTTTATTAAGTTTTTGGTTGTTACTTGTAAGTCTGTCGATGATTATAGGAGTAGAGTACGTCCATTGATTAGGCAATGGTTACCAACTTTACAAGAGAGAGATGCAGCTCAATCCATGTCAATGCCTGTTTTATTGCTATATGCTAACTCTGAAGTTGTGGATTCGAACTTGTTCAAGTCTATTTCGTTGATGGATAAGTTTTCTAAGGATTTCCCAGATGTGAAAACTATGGAGATACGATCTGTTTATAAATCACCACAGGAGAAGAATGAGTTTTGGAGTCAATTAAGTAATCAATTGAAGTCTTCGATTTTGGCTATTTTCCAAAAGAGATTGGAGAAATATTTGCATCAGATGGACGTAATAACTGCTGATTCTAATAGTAAATTCGAGGATCAATTGTTGATGAGAGAAAAGATACTGAACCTATACTTGGACTTCAAAATAGATGAAGAGGCAACCTCTAGTCTAGATAAGCTGAAACTTGATGTTCAGAGTAATAATAAAAATATAGAAATCCCAATAGGTTCATTGGAGGTTCCATTTAAATATTCAGACAACGTTCATGATTTATCTGTGGCACAGATGTTCAGAGATAATACAACTAGTACTTTCCTGTTGTATAAATACTTTTTTTACAGGAAATTTGAATTAATTAAATTGAAATCAACTAAAAATCAGCAATGTATTAGGATGTTTTCACTGGCTCGACTATTTTTGAAAACTATCAACAAGTTATTCAAAGATTCTCCAAATTTATTGGAATTTCAATATAGCTTTATCGACTTGATGTTGGAAAGGTTACCTGAAGGAGAATTATCAGATTCAAATATATCGTTGGAGATCAAGGCAGAATTCTTACTTTTACAACGTGATGTTTGGTTACATGGTGTTTTCTTAACAACTGGTTATAAAATCTTACGTAAAGATTATAAAACAGAACCAGTATATAAGTTCGATATTGTTAAAAAATCGTATAAAGATGAGTTGACCTTCCAAGAAAATTTCTTAAAGAGAACAAAAGAAATCTTGTCTTTATTTAATAAAGCTGATGGGAATAGGAAAAGAATTGTCGATATTTTATCTATAGAGGTTGGTACTCTATATTATCAGATGGAGCAATACGAGAAAGCAGTTTCCATTTTTATATCGAGTTATGAATATTATACACAATCAAAGTGGGATTCTATAGGACTTTACATTTTACAAATATTTGTTTTGTCACTGAGCAAATGCCCAAATCTAACTACTCTTCAAATAGATGGAGATGATATAGAAATAGCATCATTAATTGCTAATTCCAATTTAGAGATTCTAAAATTATTATCTGACGATAAAGAGAAGTTAGAAAAATGGAATTCGTTTTTAGAATTACAAGACAATATTAAAGTTCCGCTGTTACATTCCGTCGATGGCTTACTACATATCAATGTCCCTAAAACTTCTTATATTTCAAAACCAAATACATATGCCATCAAGCTAGAAGTTAATAATTTTGGGATACCTAGTACCATAGAAGCCAATTCAATGATTCTAAGTTTAAAAAATTCAGAAGATAAATTTATGAAGTTTACAGCTAAAGATATAAAGATTGTTCCCGATAAAAATGAAATTGTATTGCAAAATAAAGATATATTTTATGGATCGTTCTATCCAGTAATGCTAGAAATTGTTGTTAAAAATTCCACTTTAGTGAAAGAGTTTACTAATAATGATGAGTCAAAATTAGAAATCATTAAACTTTATCAACCATCTAATTTCTCAGTTGAAGTTCGTCAATCACATCAATTTTCATTAGATGGTAATTCGTTGGATGTTGTGTACCATAATTTGAAAGCCGTAGAAACATTCTCCGTTACGGTTGATGTTATTCCTAACTCTGGAAAGTATCCAGTAAGTTTATCTGCTACTTCAAATTTGTATTCAATATCGTTTGACAATAATACAAAAATGGATAACATACCGTATCAAATACTAGATGGCAATACGAATTTCACTTTAAGGGTATCTACTAATTTCTGGAAAAAAAATGATGCTTCTTCATACAGTGATGTAACAATAGTTAAGATTGGATGTTATTTACCAGTTTCTGTGTCTGTTGAAGATGTATTTAAAAAAGATATGTTTTACTTTAAGTTTCATTTGAATTCTGCAATTGAGAAAGAGCCAATACTTTTATGCAGCTCAAAACTTTCTCCTCCAAAAGATGACGATAAATATTCTGTTTCAGGTAATTTTAACCCCAAGACTCCCCTATGTTTATCATTTGACTCTAATAATAGTTGTTTAAACTGTTATCAAATTAAATCATCAGGAATATTTGATTCAAATGATATCTTTGATTTGACGGTAAAGTTCAATTCCTTAAAGGAGCAATTAGACATTTTAGTGACAGACGCAATTTTAGTCCAAGGTGACGTTAATTGGTATGAAAAATTTGAACAATGGAAAATATTTTGGGAACAAGATATCCTTTCTCAATTGTATTATAATTATATGGAATTTCAAAAGAATAGAAAAATTATTTTATTGCCAAACACATTAGATATTCAAAAATTTCAACAACGATTATTAAGTTTCGCTATTGACGTATCGGTTATTCGCAGGATAATTACATGTTTGAAAAGTATTGAAAAGGGTGTCACACTGAATAGCATTGATGTAACTGCATATACCAAAAACATGATTTCCAAACAACTAGTGGTCCCTGTTACACTCCCTGAATTTGAAGAGTTTTTTTATGTGGAATTCTTCAAAGAAAGTAAAGAGACATTAAAAATAGGTGAATCTGTTAAATTTAAGATACAGATCAAGAATCTGTGTCATCAGTGGAGCCAATGTGAGAGTCAAGGAAGCTTCTGCTTTGAAATTACCAATAGTAATGAATGGGTTGTTCATGGTAGGAAAAAATTAAGGTTTTCTACTCCAGAAGAGGAAATAGAAGTTAGTATCATTCCTCTGAAGAAAGGTTACTTGACACTTCCAAAAATAGAGATCACCAATTATAAAGGTGATCTCACTAGGATTGATAATCCGAATGCATACGAAACGTTTCTAGTATATTAGTTATTTTATTATTTATCAATTTTATACGCATGTTTCATAACTTATATAATCATATCAATAGTAACATTATTTACATTAAGGCATAATCGAATGCAACAACGATAGACAGTCTGGTTTCGGGCTAACTACATTAGGCTTGACACCTTGATCTAACATATATTTTTCAGTTGTTGGACCTATCGTAGCGACATTGCATTTCAAATGAGGATGTTGCTTTAAAAAGTCAAGTATATCCTTTGTCCCTTGTGGACTAAATAAAACAACCCAAGACCCTGGTTTTAAAGCATCTTGGAAACGTGTTAAATTGTCCTCCAAGGGACAAGTCTTGTATGTTACTATTTCTCTAATATTAAAACCTGCAGAGGACAATTTGGTAGGTATAATGTCTCTTCTGATTTCACCCACCAAGAATAAAATTTCCTGTTGCAAACAGATGTCCTGATCCACAGACAACTCATCTATCATGACATCAGCTAGAATAGACCCATTCCCTGCTCTATCACCACCTTTGATATTAACAAAACCTATTCTTTCTAGAAACCCTGCGGTAGCAGGTCCTACAGTATACACGGTCTTCGAGAGCAGTAATCTCTTATGGTCATCACATAAATTTGGCAATATAGTCTCCATAAGACATTCGACAGTACGTTGGGAAGTGATTATAATGTATTTCAAATTAACCAAATACTCTAAACTGTTTAATACTTGAAAAGCCTCATCAGGAATATGTTGATGCTTAATCAACGGTAAGAAAACTGGATCATATTGATGCTGTTTAAACAGGTTCTCATAGGAATCAAGTTTAGAGGTTTTATTCTTAAGCAATATGACTCTATTAGACATTGCTTCGACTAGCAGTTCACCTAATACAAGCACCTATTCAATACTTGAACTCTCTTTTACCCAATAGTGAAGTCATCTCAAAATTTTCCAATACGCTTAGATGGCTTGGGGCTTTATATATGAGATGAGGTCCCTGAAACGTCTCATGATAGCAACCAAACAGAGTTCAGCTGAAGGATGGCATCAACTTCTAGCATATATTCAACCGATTGGTAAACTGTTAACAGTCATTTTGTATTATGTTTTTAGACATTTGCTGCTGTTATGTCCTTTCAAATCTGAATTAAACAGGAAATGGTATTAAAACAATAAAGAGTCATCGCAAGAAGTAGCCAAGAAGACAGGATGAATTAGTTAATGGATGAAAACAGATTATAAGATTTAGACTCAAACTAACGTTATCAAAACTGAACTTTAAGTAAATAAAAGACTTTAATTTACTCTTGCTATTAATAATACCTAAAAGATTAAACCCGAAAGTGTTGAATTTCTATATACGACTTGCAATTGAACGTAACAAAACAGAACCTCCTGTGATATTGTTACATATAAACAAACAAATCAACTAATCAACATCATGGTCCCAGTAATCCTGACAACAACAAAGATACACCTACTTTAATACCTTCTTGATCTGCTACTTTACATCCGATACGTAAACCTGGATCAATATCTTCACCATATTTAAAGAAGCTAAAAAATATTCATCCTCATTGACCACCTTATGACAAGTTATTTAAAACAAGGAAGTTAGTTGAAGTTTCTGGAGTTAGTGGGTCAAGAGCAGTGGTATTCAGTCATAGTTCTAGTTCAGTATTGGAAATTTCCAAGTCTGCTTTATTTGTTGGATTCGTTGGAAGAATATATTGACTGATAGGAAGAGATGGGTTCTACTATTGATTATCCAGGGTTGATGTCCAAATCTCACAAGAGAATAAAGGATAAAGTTGCTGTTGAGCCCTTAGCTGCTGGTAATGGGCCTAATGCTTTTGCTAAATCGTCTGGTATGGGATCTACTGCCGGTACCAATGGTGTTCTTTATTCCCCAGAATCTAGCAATATTGAAGGATGGAATGACGATGACCCTCAATGTTTAACAGCAAGAGAGATGAAGAATGAAGAATCTCTCAGTGATTACAAGCCTGGTGGGAACCATCCTGCTTATATTGGTGAGTTTTATAATAATGGCAAGTACAAATTGACTAGGAAGTTAGGCTGGGGTCATTTTTCGACTGTTTGGTTAGCTGAAGAGACAATTACAAATCAACATGTTGCACTTAAGATTGTTAAGAGTGACAAAGTCTACTCAGAGGCTGCAAAGGATGAAATAAAAGTCTTGAAGAAGCTGAAAGAAACCCAGAAGTATGACCGTTATGGGGGTTCAGGAAATATCATGAAGTTGCTTGATAATTTTATCCATGAAGGTGTCAATGGTCACCATATTGTGATGGTTTTTGAAGTTTTAGGTGAAAATTTATTGGCTATGATAAGAAGATATGAACCTAATGGAGTCCCTATTTCTTATGTAAAACAAATTACAAAACAATTGCTTCTAGGGCTTGATTATATGCATAGATGTTGTGGGATTATTCATACAGATATCAAACCAGAAAATATTTTGATGGAAATTGGTAATGTTGAAAAGACAATTCAAATTATAGACTCAATGAATAATAAAAAAAGAAAGAACTCGGTTGATTCACAAATGAAAGAACTAATAGTAGGGGCAACTTGCAATGATGTTATTCAATCAGAACATTCGGTTTCTACTTCAATTCATAAGAGATCCAAAAGTCATACATTAATAACTAAATCACAGCCATTACCTTCTCCTTCCGTAATTTCAGAGTTAGAAGAGTCTTTAATTACCGGTAATGATAATTCAGCTAGTCCTAAATTACACAATAATGCTTCTGTTAACCAACAGATTACTGTTAAAATTGCCGATCTTGGAAATGCTTGTTGGTACGACAAGCATTATACCAACTCCATACAGACTAGAGAATATAGAAGTCCTGAAGTCCTTTTGAATGCTTCTTGGGGCTGCAGCGCAGATATATGGTCCTCAGCGTGTTTTATATTTGAGCTTTTAACTGGCGATTTCTTGTTTGAACCCAATGAAGGACATTCATTCTCAAAAGATGATGATCATTTAGCTCAAATGATTGAGTTGCTAGGTGCATTCCCTGACTATCTTCTCGAGAATGGTAAAAACAAAAAGAAATTTTTCACATCTAAAGGTCAATTAAGAAATATATCTAAACTGAAGTACTGGCCACTACAAGATGTATTAAAAGAAAAGTATAAATACACTGCAAAAGATGCTAATGAAATAGCAGACTTTTTACTACCAATGTTAAGGTTAGATCCAAGAAAGAGATCAGATGCTGGAAGTTTGATTAATCATCCTTGGCTAAAAGATACCATAGGAATGGAACATATTACTATTTCAGATAGGAAACTATACAGTGTTGGTGATGACATTCCTGGATGGTCTCATGAATTCACAAATGGCTAAGTTGTATTAGATAATATTATAAATTAATAATTAATAGCATATTCATAATTTTTTAATTTTTTATTCTCAAATATATGTTGATATTCAATATAACAGAGAAAACAATTATATATTATTGACATTAATCTACATAATACAAATATAAATAACAACTGGGTATAAAACAAATTAAAAATTGAACATAATCAAAATAATTTCATTAAAAGTTCTTAAATTAAGTCTTTTGTACATCTTGTAAGAAAAAGAATCAACGATTTGTTGATGTCAAGAGTACAATTTTACCTATAACAAACCGGTGATTAAACCACTTAATAATACAAACAAGCCTGAGCCTGCTGGAACATTGATAGCAGCAACACCCTTAGACTTGGAAGAATTAGAAGAAGTAGAGTTAGCTGAAGATGATGAGGAGGAGGAGGAAGAGGAAGAGGAAGCTCTTGTGGAGGTGACAGAAGAAGATCCAGTAGATGATACATCAGCAACGAAAGCGGTGCTTAAAGCATTCATCAAGTTAGTAGAATCGATAGACAGGGTTGGGGTTTGAACATTACCATCAGCATCTTTAATGGTATAGCTGAAGGTTGGAGCAGTGTAGTCACTCAACAAGCTACCAGTATTGTTGGCAGCGACACCGTTCTTGATCATACTAGCGATATCAGTTGGTTGGGCTGGTAAACTGAAATTCATGACACCAAAACCAGAGTAAATAGATGTAATAGCGGCACCGTCACATTTATATAGGGTATCGTTGGCGACAGAAGATTCCTTGATGGAAGGTAACTTTAGACTATCGTATTGCTTTTGTAAGTTTTCAAAATCATCCTTGTATTGTAAGTTATCATCGCTGTCTAATTTAACCAAACCATAGTTGTTAGCTTCTTCGTTAAATTCATAAACTAAACCACCTGAAAACTCATCTACCAAACCGTCATATAAACCTTCAGAAACTTCATCAAAAGTTCTTGGGGTCTTCTTATTACAACCATATTCAGAGAAAATTAATGGGATGACAGCGTCAGTGAAAGTAGAGTTGATGATAGAATATCCAGAACTGGTCCAATCATCACCATCACACCAACCGTAAGTGTTCAAACCAAAGAAATCAGATTTAGATTCTTCCAATTCTTTATTGATGGTAGTACCGTTCAAAACATTACATTGTAAATATTTGAAAGTAGCCAATCTCAATTGGACATTATCAGCAGCTGAATAACCGACTGGGATGGTTCTGTTAGAGTGTTTGGCAATATATTGTTTCATATCTCTTTGAACAGCACGGATATATTGTGGGTCGATAGAAGCATAGTTCTTCTCATCGTTGATAATTTCATTACCTGCAAAGAAACCCAAAACGTTTGGATAATTTTTGAAAGCTTCAATGAATCTGAAAATTCTACCCAAATACAAAGAGTTGTAAGAACCTGAAGGGTCAGCACGGTTCAAGTTTTCACCGTAATTACCACTGTTGACATCTAGAATGACGTAAATACCAGCATCATTTAAGATAGTCATACACTTGTCATGGTTGATATCAGGGTTTAAAGAGTAGACACGGACAGTGTTGATACCCAACTGTTGGAAGACAACAGCATCTCTAGCACAAGTTTCAGCATCAGATAAAACATCTTCAGATCCATCATTCTTGAAAGCAGAAGAACCACCAGGTTGGTAATCTACACCTTTAATGAAAAAGACCTCGTTGTCACTTGGATCATTATCTGGGGAAGAAGGTCTAATGAAACGGTAACTTTTAGCATGGATTGGTAACACAGCTTGGACTAGAGCTGGTGAAGCAGCCAATAAACCAAGTAGGAACTTCTTGGAGAACATTATGCAAAGAATGTAGATACTTTGATCTCTAGTTTGGAAAGCTTCAATTGAGAAAAACACAAACCATTAAAACAGTTCATGTTTACATTTAGATGCAAGATCTAGAATATATCATTACCAGTTATTTATATATCTAGGAGTAGTCAAGCAGTTTGTTGTATTTTGAATAAAGAAATCGAACGTCAACGTTGGCCCATCGATCGAATTCGTGGAGACAGTGCGTAGAGTCGTTTCAGGAACCTCAAATCAGTCAACTGCCTTACCAACATGTAGCTCCAATACTCGAATCGAACTTTAACGTTGATATCCTTATTGATGTTGTTGTTGATCTGATCTGTATCAAAAAATTTTTCACTGATGGCTGTAAAGTTGACGTATTTCGAAATGTTATTATTATGAATATTTGTTTCGTGTCGCGTTTGTCCTAGGACATTTATGATGCAGCGCTATCATATACTATAGAAGCTTTTATGGTAAATCGAGACAAAATTAATAAAAAAAGCCATTTGATATAGCGGAGGAGACCTTTCAAGAGTTTTTAGAGAATCATTATCTACAGGAGTACGATACCATTAACATTTATGGTCATGCATCGATTGCTTATTTTGCATTTCAGAATTCTTGATCTTAATCGAGCAAGATGAAAACAAAAAGGAAACCTTAATGTGTTCCTGATTATTTATTATTAGATATTAATAATACAGTGCTATCTATAAGAGATTTAATTAAAAACCATAATTACAATTCGTCATCAAGTCTAGAGTTTGGATCGACATGTGGTTTAATGACGACGTAGTCAATATACAAGTCACCGAATTTACCCTTGGAACCAAGAATTGGCATACCGAAACCTGGAATTTTTTCAACTTCACCATTCATGACTATATCCATAGGCGATCTCTTTAGTTGTAGTTTCTTTGTAGGATCTAAGAATTGTATATCTCTACTCCAGTCACCGTTTATGGCCTCTTGGAGTGTCAGGACTTCTGTTCTGAATAAATCCTTACCACGTCTTCTGTAACCCATATTTGCTTCTGGAACTTCAAAAAATTCGACTATCAAATCACCAGGTTCGATGCCCGGGCCCTTTTCAGCCTCACCTTGTTGAACTGAAATATGGTTTCTTTCAATACCGGAATCAAATGAGACAGAGATGTCCTTTTCTTTCTTTTGTACTTTTGCACCACTACAAACTTTACATTTGTTTTGTATGATTTCACCGGAACCTGCACATCTGTTACATCTCTGCTGTACCTGTTGTGTGACAATACCCATTCTTATCACTTGAATTACCACACCTCTACCACCACAGTCAGGACATTTTTTAACTTTACCATCTTCAGAGCCAGAACCATGACAATGGTCACAATTATCGTTAAGCAGTAAAGAGAAAGAAATGGAACCACCATTGTAATAATCTTTCAAAGTCAAAGCATGACGCACTTTAATAGATTGACCTCTTTGTTTACCTTGGTGTTGTTGACCACCACCGAAACCTCCAAAGCCTCCAAAGCCTCCAAAACCACCCCCATGGCCACCTCCAAACATCTGTTCAAACAAGTCAAAGGGATCGTGGAACCCACCAGGACCTCCAGGGCCACCAGGGCCACCAGGACCTCCATTTTTAACAGCATCTGCACCAAATTGGTCGTACATTCTACGCTTCTCAGGATCACTTAAAACTTCATAGGCTTCACCAATTTCAATGAATTTATTATGGGCATCTTCATCATTAGGATTCTTATCTGGATGAAACTTCTTGGATAATTGTCTATAAGCAGATTTGATCTCTTTTTCATTACAATTCTTAGATAGACCTAATATCTTATAGTAATCTTGTGCTAAGATAAAAGGCAAAAATAATAAAATTGAGATAATTACTCGTAACGAGGTCAAAACCATCTTCACTTAGTCAACCACAATATATTAACAGCAGGCTACAGTATCCTTAGACCATGTACCAAGTCTACAATCACAATCAATAGCTTCTTTTTAATACGTTGTTGTTACGTTTACGTATTTATATTTTAAGTCAAATTTTTCAGTTTCTGCCAAGAAGAGAGATATTGAAAAAAGTGCTGAAGATTCTGTTTGTAAAAGGTGTCAGTGCTATAAAGGGAAGAACAGAGAACTGAAGATACAACACTGACAGTGATTGATGTGACCAGATAGATCTTAAGGTTGTATTGTAGTTCTATAGATCTACTATGCAATAATATCATCATAGCTTACACCATTTTACTAGGAGAACTCTCTAAACCTCAGCATATTGCATTACGTAAAAATATCACGAGATCACATGACTGTTTCAGTAACATCGTCTCTTAGTATAGTACAGTATTAAAGTATGGGAAGGTTCAGCAAATGAATGGATAGAGTTGATTAGAAAGTATAACCATTGATATTACTTTAGGATATCAGTTCATTACAGATTACAGTTATTGAGATGTTGATATCTAGTCCATCTCTCTATTTTTTTTAAACAGTTTATCATAAATTAGTTTGTTTCTATTCTTTTTGGTTTTGATATTTGTATGTGAGTACAACAAAAATCAGTTTGAGGCAATTGCTGACACTTTGGGTTTTACCTCTAATAGGACTGATATAACTCATACTTTGGTTAAAATACTTGTTTATTTGATTAATTAGGACTTTTGTAACGTTAGATTGGTTATTTGGCTATTTTTGATTTTAAATATAGGACACTCGATGGATCATTATATGGTTGTCGTTGAGAAAGTATCATGAAATTTCTGTTCACACCAAAACATCAGAAGTTGGTAAACCATTGCTATCCTAGGGGTAGGACATCTGAAATGAAACCCAACACTTCAGAGACTTCGTATTTGTTATACTATGTTAGTTCAAGAAGGAATAAGTTGGAAAAAGTCAGCAAATATTTGGTTAAACGAACATTGCACGACATACGTCATAGAAAGTTTGGTAATATTGCTGTCACAACTATTCTAATGAATGAAATAATACATTCATGTAATGAAAACTTAAACATATTTATAGGGGACTTCTTATTTATTCTGATCAAGATATTGACAGATACCAATATTAATAATGATATTATTATTGTTGAGCATATTGAGAAAATATTGAATAGTGTTTGTTCACTAACTAAAAATAATATATTTAATTGGAGTTCTGAATCAATACAGAAATTCGTTGACTTTGTTGAATCTTATTTTAAAGTGGTCCATTATAGATTACATAAAGATGAATTATTATTAAAAGGATGTATTGATATTTCGATGGCTACAAATTTAGCTTGTAATCAATACACAAATCACATTGTTCAAAAATGTGTGGAATACAGTTTAAAAAAGTTGAAGGAAAAATATCCAAAGTTTAAGATAATTAATCTACGTCCAAATTCTATATATAGAGGTGACTCTCAAAAATTATCAAAGAGTCTTCAATGTTCATTGAATTCATTAAATATTGAAAGCCAGAATGATCTAGAAGTAATAGCAACAAGAAACTTCTTTAATACAACAGAAACTGATAAGTTGACAGTGGCAGTCCAACAGCTATTATCGCATTTATTCAAAATTCCCAATTCTGAATTGCTTCTTGTTATTTGTGACATGATACCCCTTCAATTACGATATATCGTTGTCATCCTGCTGTTTAAACATTTGAGCTCATCCAACCCAAATAAAAAAAACCCTGTTATCATCCTTAAACTGATATCTGCGTTACTGACTTCAAGTATTAGTATGATAGGTCTAAGTGTCTTGGATTTGATGAGGAAACTATTGAATTTTCAATTGAGTAATGTCAGTGTTAAGAATGTTAATTATCAATGCAGGAATACTATTGCCGATTTAAATAATAAAATATATTATAGATCCCAAACTGCTGATATGTTCTATGAATTATTGGCAAGAATTGAAGTGGAAAAACGATCTTCTTATAGACATGCATTAAAACTTGATATCCTCACATTAATCAAATCGGCGAGTCATAATGATATACCACTACCGCTATGTGCAGAACTAATTAGGCATTTACCTAACGAGTTTGAATCAATTATGGAAATGTCAGAATCAGAAAACAAATCAATAGAATACTGTTTTTATCCTATTTGTAGAATTTTAAAATTCATTGAAAATGAAAACGATATAAATAAAAGCTCGGGATATCTGAATATTCTATTACAAAAGTATAAGAACATTGCAATTGCCACGGGTTTGAAATATCTTGATAGTCCTGATTCGATACATGATAATGAATTTTATTACACTTTCCATCATAAAGCTGCTGATTTTTTATGTTTAGCTGATTATCAGGAAGAAGTATTGGCAAAGAAAAAGAAGGGTGGGTCTATTGATGAAACTGGACTGGTTTCACTTTTATCGGGATCAAACAGAGAAATCATTCAGCTTACAGATATTGTTCAAAATTTAACAAGTAGCGGTGACTACAGCATGGAAAACTCTGAATTGAATCTTCAATCCTCATCCAACCTTAAAGAACTTAATTATAGACTAAGGAGTTCGTCTTACGGATTTCAAACAGGTAATGCCATAATGAATAAAAATAAAAATTATTATCAAAAGTTTTCAACTTTAAATACCACCTCATTGAAATTAACATCTTCAACTACCCCAACAGTTAAGCAATTGAAGCATATATATGGGAGTAGGTATGACAATCGGGATGAAAAAAATTCATTGTTAATAAATAATTATCCACAGTCGATGCGTTCAAAAGTAACGAATATAACATCCCTACTAAACGAATTAAAAAGCTGTGATGAGCAATCAAGAACTACAAATTATGACTTAGATCTTGAGAAAGGGAATAGAATAAGCAAATTCAAGCCTCTTCAGGGGAATAAAATTGTAAATTTGACCGCTAATGACACAGTGTCACCAATCTCAGATTCAGAAAGTTCAGAAAACTCAACAACTGATCAACGTGCTGAATCACATATGACATTGTCTGGCAGTTTTTTTGCACAGCTTTCCAAAAAAAGACTGTTCTTTCCTTTTAAATAGTTAAATTGTCATCATATAACCAGGAACTCGATATATCTCGAAATTGGTAACTATTTTAAAATACATGCAATTATTCGCTTTCTTGATCCTTAGATGGTTCTATTTTCCTTTGTTTATACATTAGGTAGTCTTCTTTCTTCTGAGACCTTTTCAAATTTGCTCTGTGTCGTCTGCTTGATAAATGAATTGTCCAATTTTTGTTTCCTATAGCTAACAATTTATTATTATTTTTATCACAACAAATATCACAGGTAAAGTGTTCAAAATCATCATTTTTTGTTTTATCCAAATTGTTCTTATCAAATTCCAAACTTTTTAATTTATTTGGTACTTTGAGCTCATCGATATTTTTATCTTCTATAAATTTGGTAGCTATATTATCCGCTCTAACAGCTACTGTCTGATCCCACTTCTCCAAATCGGTAGCATCCAAAATATAAATATCACCATTAATATCTGGGATTAACATCTTTTTTATCCATTTCACTTGGCTTTTTGCATACTGTCTGGTCCTAATTTTCATTCTTTCCACACAATCAGGTAAAGATACATTAGGTTCCTTTTCTAACCATGGGAGGAATTCTTTGAACCCAATAACTTGCCATACACCATTCTCACATTGTTCCGCAGTAAAGTTGTTATCTTTGTAATAATTATATAATTCATTAATCTCTTCCATACCACCAGTCTCTAACATTTTATCAACTCTATCATCTAATCTTTTGTTCAAAGCATCTGGTTCACTGTATAGCCAAAAGAATAATGTATTATACCTCAAACTATTCTGCTGTTCATTAAACATTTCGCTTGGTTTCTTTCCTGTAGTATAATATATCTCTAGCATTCTTTGGACTCTTCTAGTATCATTTGGATGATATTTGCTTGCAATATCAGGATCATGCTTAATTAAAGTCTGATAAGTCAGTTCACCATCTCCAGAATTCAAAATTTCTGATTCTTCTTCTGTAACTTCCCTTGTTTTCTCATTTACACTCTTATTAAACAATGCTTGAAGATAATAATGGGTACCACCTACTACAATTGCAACTTTCCCTCTCCTATGAATATCTTCAATAGTCTTGATACATTCCTTCTCGAACCTATGAATATAATACTCCTCAGTCCAATCAACATGGTTCATAACATGATGTTCAATGCCTTCACGTTCAGCCAATGGATGTTTATTGGTAATGATTGGGATTCCTTTATACATTTGCATTGAATCAGAATTAATCACTTCACCATTAAATTTTTTAGCCAAATGTATAGATAATTGGGATTTCCCAACACCTGTAGTACCAGCAACAACAATTACTCTACCTGAACTCGTCATTCCTTGCATGATTCCCCGTATACACATTTGTATCATCAGAAGCTTTATCTTATCTCATCTCATCTCAATTCTTGTTGAACAATTTTTATATGATGAAGCTCATCTCTAATAGTTTCTTCTATATATTTATATAGGCAGCACTAAACGGTGTAGATGAGAATCTGGAAATGACAATGTTAATGCACTAAAAATTATAAATGTGTTCATATAAAACCATACCGTATGTCTCTATATATTTATATGTAGTAAATGTATTTATGTATTTATGTAAATCTTGATGATTGAGAATTGGGCTTCGAAACATAAAAGGCTTCCTCTCAGTAGTCATCATCACCAGAATCTTCATCATCGTACCAACCGAACTCATAATTTGATGAAACGGTGGCTAGTTCATCTTTTAATTCTTCTCTGTCGCTATCGTGTCTGAAATATTTGGAGACTATATCATGCCATTGTTGGTACACGTCTCTGCAAACCTCTGTTGATTCTAGATCAACAGTGAATTCACTAACTTTCCTAAACGCTATAGGAATTGTATCTGAAGGAGAATATGGATAAGTGAATAATTCTTTTAAGTCATTTGACTTGTGGTTTATTTCCATTGTTCGAGTTATTGAAGCCTTTGAGAAGATGTGTAAACTATCATCATTTCTTCTTGTTTTTAATGGCTTTACCCTTGGATAAAATGAATATTGTAGATCTGTACAGTCCGTTGAAGTAATATTTGAAACAATATTTCTCACTTCATCTCCATCTTTAATACATTCTGCCAAGTAATCCATTGATCTTCGTTGATCCATATTAGATTGAGAGAATAGTGAGTTTACAGTATCGAATATCTTGCATAACATTCCAGACAGTTCCCAATTCGAAGTATTCGGTGGCTCATATAATGGTATAAACAGGTCAGATTCTTGTTTCAAGTTTATGGATGCCCTTAATTTGTTTGACAATTTATGCAAGTTTGCTCTTGTTATCATTTGATCCTTTGTAACCGTACCTGTCAATGGATCGTCTTCATTCAAACCCCAAGTGTATACTACAGATTTAGGCAGTTCATTTCTCAATTCTAAAAGTAATGCAGTTGAGAATCCTCCCCATGCAGAGTCTAAATCAGTAATCATTTGAAACCCTTGAAGAGAATCACATTGTTCTAATTGATAATGAAAATTATCATCGAAGAAATCCATGCTGTAATTATCATTGAATTCATCGTAACCTATTATGTAATCGTTGAATTTCCTTTCTCCCAAGTTCTCATAATCAGGTAGGTTTGGTTCTTCTACATCATGGTACCAATTTCTTAAAGTATTTAAACTTTTTGGTTGATAAATCAATTTCGAATAATCTGACCAATATCTTGTAATTGAAGGGGTTAAAACCGGTAATTTAGAACCGGAATCCAATGCCATCTGATATTCTGATCTATTTATCCTAGGATGAGTAATCATAATATCACTACTTTCGTTTTTTTCAACATTATTATTATCACCATCATCGAAATTATAGTAATCATCCTCATTGAAATATTGATGTTTCCCCAGAGAACCAGTACCAGTCTTCGCATCCCATAACAGTGCTCTAGGATAATAAGATACAGTCTTGGACAGTCTATCGACAATGGGATTCAAAAATATCGACTTTTCACTATCATTCTTATTATCATATAACGATGCCTCTTGGCAATTGAAAAATTGTGTTGCTAAATGGTTAGCTCGATGAGATACTGAAATTGTAATTATTTCATGCATATTATATTAAACACCAAGATCGAATAAGGTCCAAACCAATATCTACCAACTACTTCCTCTTGGATTGATGGTCTGATTTACTCCAGAATCTACCTTTATGCCTCTATTTAAACATGTTTTTTTAATGAAATCTTTCATCAAAGTTCTTAGATGCATTAGAGGTTATATTCAGAAAGTAACAACTAGATTAAAGTATTATAAAAAATGTTGGTTATTGCAAGTAATTACAGAGTGTTGTAGTTAATATTAAGAATAAATTAAACACGATACTAAATTTACATTAAATTCAATTAAATAAATTAAGCAAATAGGGTGAGTTTAAACCTTATCGTTAATGGATGCTATTTGTTTTCTATAAGTAGTCATGACGTAAGACTGACCTTTTGATGGGGAGGTATTAGGAGGTGCGACTGGTTCGTAACCCTTTGATGAAATTTCTTTATGGTATGTGCTTAAGAATCTACAGATTGGTTCAAGATACCATCTCTTACCTTTCTCACCGTTGAACCAAGCGACATGACCTCCAATATCAGTTTCGATTAGTACAGTATATGGGTTCTGTTGAAACTCTTTCTCTGGGAACACAGGGCCAGTGATTGGGTCATCTCTTGCATTAATGGCAATGAATGGGGTCCTTATGAAAGGGAGCCTCTGGTAAGCAGAAGCATCTTCGTAATAGTGAACTCCATCTTTATAACCAAACATAGGACCGGTGAAGAAATTGTCGAACTCATCTAGGAACTTGATGCTTTCGAAACGAGTTGAATAGACTGATTCAAAAGTTGGGCTTTTCCTTAATTCCTCGATGTGCCTGTGGGTTAATCTGACCAAGCTCTTGCACAACGCTTGGGAATAGACTCTTTTCCCAATGGTTGTGCTATTGATGTAATGGGAAGCGTTGGTTAGGTTCCAAGGTAGACTCACTGCAATAGCACAAGATATTTGAGAATTTTCACCTTCTTCACCCAAATAATTGGTTAGAACAGAGGCCCCCAAGGAGAACCCCACCATATAAAACTTTCTGTTTGGGTACATTGATTTCAAAGTGTTGACACAGTGTCTAATGTCATTGGTCCAGCCACAGTTGTACAATTGGGGGGTTGTGATAGTGGAATGACAGCAACCTCTTGCGTTCAAGACACAAGCTTCAAAACCATAGTTTTCAGTGATATTATGGACCAAAGACCTGACGTAACTTTCAGAGGACCCACCAGCTAAACCGTGCAATACAATCACTAAAGGTTTAGTATCATCTGATTTCAATCTAGGATCATTTGGACTAAAGAAAGAATAAAAGCTCTTTGAAGGTAAAAATTTCTGGAATTTTGGACTATAAGGCTTTATAGCTTTTTCAGTTGATCCTTTTTCCTCGTTGACTACAAAATCCACAGTACCTTCACCACCATCTGAATAGTTTAAGACCAATCTTTTGTATTTGACTTGATCAATGTCTTGGAATTTCTTCAAAGAAGCATAGGCCGTTTGGAAATGACCATTGATCAAATAAGGATGCAGCATGCTGCTAGAACCATTTTTAAATTCAGGGACATATTTCTCTATCAGGTTTGGGAAACTGACAGTAGGATTTTTACCGACAGACTGATTCCTATCCTTTAACTGGAAGTATATAGGATGGTTCGGAAGAACAGCTTTAACGGTAAGATAATTTGGTAAATGTTCACTAAAAGCCATTTATCTAAATATCTTTTAAATCGACAACAACACAACGTTCTACGCCTTGGACACACAAGTCACACTAATGTGAGAGCTGACTTTACTAAACTAAAGCTAAGTTGAGCTAAAATAAGTATGAGACACACACACTATATATATAAATATAAATATATAAATATAAGCAAGAATATTTTAGTAGAGTAATATGGAATGAAATGAAGGATTTAACGAATAACTATATCCCTATCTCATCGATTGGGACGGGTTTTAACCACATACTATATATAAAATTTTTATCGTTGCTATATTAATAATATTATGAGATAGTAAGAGTGTAATAACCATCAATCGATCAAGACAAATGGAACAAACCTCTAAAACCAATAAAAAAAACCTCTAAACCGTTACAAGGGAAGCTTCCCCTTGAAATAGAATTCCTATTGACATGAAGTACCAACCACATCATCACCTTCTTCATCACCACGTCCAGCTTAACTTGAGACTAAATCGAAATATTCTCAAATACATAAGAGAGAGGACACTTCATGGTAGTACTTGGCCAGAGGTATAGAAGGAAACATAATCTCATCGCCCTCTCTTGGAAGTTAGAAGGCATAGGAAATTGTGAGATGTCTAAACTGCAATTGAATTGTCGTAATAGTTGTCAACATCAAGTAGTGAAGAACATAAACTACACCATTTCCTAACGTTGAAACTTTTTTTTTTTTAATTAATTAAACCGATCCAGCTGATTCAGCTCATCCCACCACTTCTCTTGATTCGATAAGAGTCTATCCCTACAAGTACCAATATCAGTTTTTCCAGTTCCATGGAACCAGAAATCAATCAAAATCAACCAAAACCATCCCATTCCATCCTATTCCTCTGGGTATGGTGATCCAATCCAGTGGACCGTCTCTATCTGTATCTGGTAATACTAGACTGGGTGGGTTAAACATGCATCACTTTTGCCTTGTTTGTCATTGGATTTGGAACTTTTTCAGTTTGATTCGAATTCGAATTTTATTATGGTGAAGTTAGCTTTGGATATCTGGCATTACAGGTAGTGTATTCTGTTAGGATATAAAGGGATTGGGATTGACTTTGATGGATGGTCTTGGCCATTGTAGCTCTGTTATTCGGGTAGGATCGAGATTGGCAATTGAACGAATTGTTTGTTTATATATGATATTATTTGAGTTACGATTGATTGATTATATTTGATTAGAGTACATTTGAAAATATTGGATTCTATATAGTTTTTTGCTTTTACCATGTATACATATATACATATACATACATATATATATATATATATATACTTGTGTGTGTTTGTGTATGAGTGTTTTTTCGTATGTGAGTGTGGATTCAACAAGTTAACAACATTTCTAGGATTTAAATATGTTGTCACCTTTGTTGATTTGGATTTTTTTATCTTGTCCAGCACTAATGATTCCAACATTTTTTGACCAGTTAACAGCAAACACTTTATCGTTTACTCCCTTTTCTACAGATTGTTCTTCTCTTGTTATTGTATACATTGGCGAATTGGCTCTTACATCCCAGACTTTAACAGTACCGTCATGACTACCTGAACATAGCATGTATTCATTTTCTGGACATGTATCTAATGATACAACGAAATTCTTATGGCCAACTAATTGTTGTTGTGTGATTTTGGATGTTGAACCAATACGTGGGTCATGTAATGTGATATGTCTAGCACTTGAACCACATGCAAGTAAGTTTAATGTTGGCAATTGGGCTAATGATAATAATGAATATGAGGTTGTCTTAGTATCAATACATCTTGAAGTGACCAAATCCCAGGTCTTGATTGTATGATCTTGTGAAATTGAATACCCGACTGTGTTATCTTTAAAATCAAAGGAAACTTGTTCAACTGGTCCAGTGTGTGATTCTAATAATGCTAATGGAGCACGTCTTCTAATGGTACCATCTTTTAATGTTAACTTTCTTCTTTTTTTGGCAGCGGTTGACATCTTGCTGTCATTGTTTTTCAACTCTTCCATTGGATCAACGACTGTCATTTCTTTATAAATAGTTGACCAGAACCCAATGGTGTTATCATAAGAACCTGATAAAATTCTAGAGTTATCGCTAACATCGATAGAAACAACTGGTGCTTTGTGACCTTCTAGAATTGCTAATGTTTTACCATCTTCAATGTCTTCATCGTCTTCATCAACAACTGGCTGTTTTAAATCTTCGTTCTTAGTCTTCCACAAACGTAAAGTACGGTCGTTACCACCAGAAACCATTCTAGTGTTTGAAATATATTTAACTGCACGGATTGGTGCAGAATGGCCACTGTATTGTTTTTCAATCTTACCAGATAAATTCCAAGTACGAACAACACCATCGTAGGAACCACTGATGATCTTATTGTTGTCACCGACATCTAGAGAACTAACCCAATCTTCATTGCTGAAACTACTCAAGAAAGAAGGTGGCAACACAGCTCTTGTATACTCAACATTCAAAAAAGTTTCAGAAGATAACCCATGCTTGGTTAAGTATTCCTGTAAAGAAATACGCAACAATTCACCATCGATCAAGAAATCAAAAGGAACAGGTTTCTCGAACCCCAGTAAATGATTAACAACTTCTGATAAACCATATCTCTTCAACGAGATAGGAGCATACATAGGAGCATCTTGGACATGTAAAGATTCATCTTGTTCACGAGTGAAGAATCTTAACTTAACTTGAGAAGAATCACTAGACATCTTCAGGTATTTATTTGGAGGGAGGGGGAACAGAAGGATATAGTTGAAACAAAATACGTTGACGGTGCTCACAGATCTTTAAAATGGATAGTAATGCAACACAATATCTTAAAATAATAACTGTTTTAACCTTCAAATAATGTTTGATATCTTCTTAATAGTGTGTAATATTTGCGATGAGCTTTCGAAAATTTTTCAAAGTTAACAAATTCGCGTAGAGATCAAAAAATTTAGAACTTTAAGCTTAAATTCAAACCGAACTGTACAATTTTTCGAAATGAGTTCAGTCGAGTATGGAGGGTTAGATCAAGATTGATGGAATTAGTTACAATTTCAGATACAACTACAGATTGATTAAAACTACTACAACTACGATTACAATTACAATTACATTGGTATTACAATTAGTATAATATAAAGATATGAGATGTCTCACTTGCGCAGATACTGATCTAAGCGTGGGTATTAACAATAAAAATTATAACACTTAAAACAGTATGAGGTACGCTCATGAGCGTGGGTGTCTATCTAGCGCTTCTTTTCCCCTCTGATCACCTATAGAAAAACAGATGGCACAGTGAATAGAATGCATTTTCGTATCACCCTTTTGAAGCTAAAGCTAAATTAAAAAACCAGAACTAGAATATAAAATATTATTTAGGAAAGTGATATGAACGTCCAAAAGAAAGACGATAAAATCGAGTTCTTTATATATTAGTTGTAAGTGCGGGTAACTTCTCCAAAACTGGTCACAAGTTAGGGCCAGAATATATTTTTTTTAAATCTCTATTCGTACAGATTGATGATGGTCATGTGATATATGCACGTGATACGATACCGAATAGAAAAAGAAAAAAGTTATCCAACTCCTGTTCCGGTAACTGAGTCCATCGTATCGCCGGGGACGGGACGAAACTCAGAACTCGAAAGATATCCAGATCAAATGACGACAAGTGTATGAATCATAATGAAATATTCGATGAGCTCCAACCTTTAAATCAATCTAGTCGTATTGGGATTGATTATAAAATGTTGGAATTGAAAACTGGTTAATCATATATTGGCAATATATATTTATATATATATAATTGTGTTCTTGGAAGGGGTGGAAGCAAACCGACTTCATTTCATCTGAGATAATTATTTTACGTTAAAAGAGAAATAATGGCCTCATCTGTACCAGGTCCTATCGAGCTACCTGTCTCCAAATATGACCAATCCTCTTATTGGGGGAGAGTTCGTCATTGTGCAGGGATTTCAGATCCTACAATGCTGTTCACTACTGAAAATCACCTGGTAAACGCTAGAAAGATCATAAGTGATTATCGTAATGGTATACTTAAACAGCCAACACCTGAATTTTGGAAGGCTAAGAAACAATTAGACTCTACTGTGCATCCAGATACTGGTGAGACTGTGTTTCTGCCCTTCCGTATGTCATGTAATGTCATCTCAAATGTCGTGGTAACAGCAGGTATGTTGACGCCAGGTTTAGGTACCATGGGGACTTTATTTTGGCAATGGGCTAATCAGTCTTTGAATGTTGCAGTAAATGCTGCCAATGCAAATAAATCAGATCCGATGTCTACAAAGCAACTTTTGACGAATTATACTATTGCTGTATCTGCTTCATGTGGTGTAGCGGTGGGTTTAAACAAACTCGTCCCTAGATTAAAGAATATTACTCCTTCTACAAGATTGGTGCTTACTCGTCTGGTGCCATTTGCGGCAGTTGTTAGTGCTGGTATCGTAAATGTATTCCTAATGAGAGGAAATGAAATTCGTAATGGTATTTCCGTCTATGATCAAGATGGTGAAGAAGTTGGCAAATCTAAGAAAGCAGCATTCTTGGCCGTTGGTGAAACGGCTTTGAGTAGAATTATCAACGCTACTCCAGTCATGGTGTTACCTCCATTGGCCTTGATTAAATTACAAAGCGGATTCTTAAAGGGTAAATCAATGAAGATACAGAATTTGACCAATTTGGGTTTGATTTCTGCAACTTTGTTTGCGGTTTTGCCTTTTGCTTTAGCTGTCTTCCCACAGCGCCAAAGCATCCATGTTTCAAAATTGGAATCAGAACTACAGGGCAAAACTACAAAATCCGGCCAAAAGATTGAATATGTTAACTTTAACAGAGGTATTTGAAATCTTAAAATTATGATTGAAATAATATTTTCTTATTATTATATATTTATAGACTGAACATGTATGTATCGATTAATTATTTATTTTCATATTAAAAATAATCCTCTATAAGAGCCGAGTTTTAGAATAATGTATAGATAGCCTTGTGATATATACCGTTTCATTTTTTTCTCAATTATGCATTTTTCTACTATTTTGTTAAGGTTAAAATTGTAGTTGATTAGAACTTCCAAGTCAAAACAGATTCATCGGAAAATAGGAACTTCGTCAATTGCTCTCTTGGACTTTCTCTAGCTTCCAGAATAGCCTTGATTACGATCGCATCTTTTTCAGGAATAGAATCCAAAGAAACAAAAGAACAACCCATACCACCCAAATCAGTGTCATATGTACCATAGTTGTGTTTTTCCTTCAAGATGGACTTGAAAGTTTTAATTTGATCTTGTGTGACATCCTTCTTTAAGATGGTCAATGAACACCCACCACCACCAGCACCGGTTAATTTAGTAGAACCTAAATCCATAGTATCACTTAACGATTTGATTATTTCTAGACCTGGATGAGAAACACCTAATGATACCAATAGACCATGATTGACTCGTACTAATTCCAACAAGTCGTTATAATTTTTATCATTCAAATTTCTCAAGATATCAGCACCGTCATTAGCCAAATGACCCATAGATTGGAGAATTGGCTTGAAAATACTTGGATACTTTTCGACTAATTCACGGACATTGCTAACCAAAACTTTGGTGGATCTTGGAATTCTTGTATATGTCAATATCATTGGAATCTTTGGAAAGTTGTCAATAAATTGGAAGTTAGTTGAGCCATTATCTTCCTTCTTGAATAGAACAGCGTTACCATAAGTAGCGACAGCGTTGTCAATACCAGAAGGAGTACCATGGATACATTTTTCACCAATAAAAGACCAACTATTGATATATTTCTTATCGGCAGAAGTCAAGGATTCGGTACTCTTGATGTGACCCCCTAATTTAGCCATGGCCAAAGACAATGCTACAGAGATAGAAGCACTTGAACCTAAACCTGCACCAATTGGTAAAGTAGATTTAAGGGAAAACTTGACATGATTAACATTAGGACATAAACACACGTACAAATAGATGAAACAAAATGCGGCATGGAAATGCAAAGATTCTTTCAAACTACCTAACAATTTCTCTTCCAACAAAGTTACCAACGGTTGAGATAAGTTATTAGTATCCTTTCTAGCCTTTGTCAATAAACCATCAGCCTCAGCAAGCTTTATAACTTGATGGATCTCGGAATGTCTCCATTCATGATGGAACTTAATATCAGGGAAATTCAAAGCAACAGTGTCCCTGTGAGCGCCATCTTCAACCAATAGGAAAGTTCTTAGAGAAGAAACACTAGCGGCCACTGCAGGCTCGTTGTAAACTGCAGAATGTTCACCAAATATAATAACCTTACCAGGAGCAGAAGTAATAAAAGGAATCATTATCCGTGGAGATGAGAATTTAAAGAAAACGGAACAAATACCACCGGCTTGCTACAGATAAGAGTCTAAATGTCTTGAAAAAACAATCGACGACAACAATTGGATAGCAGAGCAATTGCTCATCAGTTGGCTTCTTTATATACCAATTAGATCTTGGCTTGGGCAGTGTCTCGATGAGGTGACCCGATAAATATCCAAATTCCGGGTAACTACTTTTAGTCTATGAATTCTTTAACTGTGGAAAGCTTTAGAGTTACTGCAACAGGTGATGAGAGAACAACTGATAAACCTCAATGGTAGAAGGTGATGATGTTTAGTCCAATCGAAACTGATCGGTTTCTGAGTCAAATTGATATGAGTTTCCAGTGATACTGGTTTTTTAAGTCGGCTGGGTACTACTCGCTACATTGATACAAGAGACATGAAATAGCTCGGATAGGCTGACATTTGTTTCAGTACCAGCAGAGCAACACAATTGAATATAGAGAAAGAGAGAATCTAGAAGTTCTCAAAACATTCACCTGTCCTGTCTCCTTCTCCCCACAACAGTACCAGGAATTCCAAATCGTAATACCATTTTAACTCACTATAGTAAACTATGCAATACACACATACTTTCTTTCTTACTTACTTACTTACTCACTTGCTTCACTAGGTTAACTACCAACCAAGCAGTGTATACTTGACAACTGATCCAAAAACAATTGTAAGTGGAAAGTCACGTGCGTACAAATATCTTCGTCACGTGCTGACTCAAACTCATGTCACGTGCCTTGTTGTATATCACTCCTCACGGTGGTTGTATCCTCCTTAAGCAAAGAAAATGTTGTAAATATTTGAAAAAAAAAAGGTTTTAAAAGGGATTTTGATTAAGTTTGCTACAAGATGAGATGATTTAGCAGATATAAATGAGAGCATTGGCATTGGTAATTGAGAGTGTTCTGGCTGTCTGATTCAGTTGCTATTAAATTCTGTGTTTATTCTATTATATTGTTGTTGAGCGAACACAAGTGTTTGAGGAAAAAATCTATATCCGAGAGAATAGCTTGCTTAAATTCTGAAACTTATAGTGCTGCAAAGAATTTTTGAAACCCATTGAACGGTTATAAATTTTGGAAAAATTTATTTATAAAGCAGTACTTTTCAGGTTTGTATTGGAACAAGACTCTTTGGCTATTGAAGAAGGAACCGTTGTTGTTTGGTAGTTTGTTTCTGTGCTTTTAGTTCACAAAATTTAAAAGAATTTAAAATTTAAGCTGATAACAATGATTGGGTTAGGAGAGAAAGATGAGGCGATGTTTCGTTCGGCGGAAATGTCAATGGTCCATTTCTATATCCCCCAGGAGATTTCCAGAGATTCTGTTTACATTGTTGGTCAACTAGGTTTAGTCCAATTCTTGGATTTGAATCACAAGACAAAATCGTTCCAGAGAACTTTTGTCAACGATATTAGAAGATTGGATAATGTTCAAAGACAGTATCGTTATTTTTACAAATTGTTGCAGAAACATAGTCTGAAAGTGTTTGCTGCAGATGAAGGAAAGTCGTTGGTTGCCGCAGAGACTATGATGATCCCACCAACCACGGCTGCAATTGATGATCATGTTCAAAATGCTCAGTTTTTGGAAGAACGTCTGCTTCAAATGGAGGACGCATCAGAACAACTGGAAGAACAGAAGGCCGACTTGGAACAATTCAGACATGTTTTGAGATCTTCAGACGCATTTTTCGCAATTGACGGCACCCAGCATCAACAGATCGCCGTTCAAACTACGCAGCCATCAACAGAAATTGATGACATAGAAAGACAATTCATTGATCAAGGCGCAAGCTTACCAGATTCCGTAAACTATGTTACTGGTGTTATTTCAAGAGAGAAAATTCCTGTTTTTGAACAGATCTTGTGGAGAGTGTTGAGAGGTAACTTGTATTTTAAACATACTGAAATTGAAGAACCTATCTACGATAAAACTGTAAAGGACAAAGTCGCAAAGAATGCTTTTATTGTTTTCTCTCCAGGTGACCTGATAATTCAAAGAATTAAGAAAATTGCAGAATCTTTGGATGCAAAACTTTACGATGTCGGTCAAACTTCAAACATGAGATCCAAGCAGTTGATCGAAGTCAACCAAAACTTGGATGATTTGTATACCGTTTTACAAACAACTAATACTACTTTGGAGAGTGAATTATATGCAATTGCAAAAGAATTGAATTACTGGTTACAAGACATTTCCCGTGAGAAAGCTGTCTTTGAAGCATTGAATAAATTCAATTTCGATAACAACAGAAAAATTCTGATTGCAGAAGGTTGGATTCCATCAGATGAGTTAGTTGTCTTGCAAGATCGTTTAGATCAAATGACTGCCAACTTAGGAGTAGACGTTCCTTCGATTGTTCAAGTGTTGAAAACAAGTAGAACTCCTCCTACCTATCATAGAACAAACAAATTTACAGAAGCCTTCCAAGCTATCTGTGATTGTTATGGTATTGCACAATATAGAGAAATTAATCCTGGTTTGCCTACAATTGTGACATTCCCATTTATGTTCGCCATTATGTTTGGTGACATGGGGCATGGTTTCATTATGTTTTTAGCGGCCTTAGCTTTGGTCTTAAATGAAAATAAGATTGCAAAAATGAAAAGAGACGATATATCGGATATGGCATACACTGGTAGATATATGGTACTATTGATGGGTGCCTTTTCTATGTACACAGGTTTCCTGTACAATGATATTTTTTCCAAGTCAATGACATTCTTTAAATCTGGTTGGAAATGGCCAGAAAAATTCGAACCAGGTCAAACAGTTTTCGCAGAACCAGTTGGTACATACCCAATCGGTTTGGATTACGCATGGCATGGTGCTGAAAATGATTTGTTGTTTACCAATTCATATAAGATGAAATTGTCTATTTTAATGGGTTTTATCCACATGTCATATTCATATATGTTTTCCTTGGTAAATCATATCTATTTCAACTCATGGATTGACATTGTTGGTAATTTTATTCCAGGTTTCTTATTCATGCATGGTATCTTCGGTTATTTGGCCGTTTGTATAGTGTACAAATGGTCTGTTGATTGGATCAAAGATGGTAAAGTCGCACCAAGTTTGTTGAATATGTTAATCAATATGTTTTTGGCTCCTGGTAAGATTGATGATCCACTATATCCATATCAAGACAAGATTCAGATGGCATTATTATTCATAGCATTGATCTGTATTCCATGGTTGTTGGCTGTTAAGCCAATATACTATAAGATTAAATTAAGCAAGAAGTACAACGCAGTACCAACGACAGTGACTGACGAATTAGAACAATTACTACCCGATGTAGACATTGACGGTGGCGCTGGTGAAGATGGTGAAGCAGGAGGACATGGTGCAGAAGAGAACCTAGGTGATATTGTTATCCATCAGGTAATTCATACGATTGAGTTCTGTTTGAACTGTGTGTCTCACACAGCATCATATTTACGTTTGTGGGCATTGTCCCTTGCGCATTCTCAATTGTCCAATGTTCTATGGAGTATGACAATCGCAATTGGATTCAAGAGTTCTGGTACACTAGGTGTAATTTCTATCGTATTCTTATTTGCAATGTGGTTCGTATTGACAGTATGTGTGCTAGTTGTGATGGAAGGTACCTCAGCCATGCTACATTCCTTACGTTTACATTGGGTCGAGTCCATGTCTAAATTTTTCGTAGGTGAAGGTCTCCCATACGAACCATTCAATTTCCCAACAGAGGATATCGAAGACTTCGGATCACAAACCACCTCAGCCACGGCAGCTGCTACTGCATGAGAAATAGACATCAGGACAAAAATAGGGGAAAAAAATAATAGATCTTCAACAACAATTTCTAATAAAAGCAAACAAAAACCATCATAATCATCATAGCACTTACACCCGTCATAGATATCAGACAGAGAATATAGATATACATTTCGAATAACGAACAAAAGGTATATACACCATATCATTTATAATAGATACATATATAACAAATAAAGTACAAGCTTAAAAGGGGAAAAAAGGCATCTCTACGGCCGTTGGTATGATAAGAGAACCAAATCGGAGCTACAAGTGTCAGGCGGAAGCAGAAGAGATCGAACAATTTGTCAATCGAACTGACTATACACAGTATGTATCACTTACGTGGTCAGAACGAGGAGGATAAACGAACTAGAGTACGGAAAGACGGTCGGTTGGCCGGTTGGTTCGTTGGCTAGCAATGAAATCAGACTTTCATCCCATTTGATAAAAGGACCCCACTTTTGTTATTTTTTTATCATAAAACTCACAACAACCAAAAAACCAGTTCGAAAACTTGTCATTCAAATCCTATCCTTGTTAACATAACAAACTCTCTTGTCCACCCCCAAAGCTAAAAAGCCTAAGCCAAAACTAAACCTCTACCGTCTCTCTATCTGGCACTTTTGACAAAATCCTTGGCCGGTTCCCATAAGTAACCTTACCTAACATAATGTGTATATAATACTCAGTTCTAGTTCCTTTTTGCTAATTATCACCATTTGTTAACGCCGCGCTCTAGTTTCTTTTTACCAAACAGAACAAGCCCGAGGCTGACAAAGAGGCCCACCGTTTCCCATTCATTCACTCGAAAACGAGAAATGTTGCATAAAAATCTGGTAAGAATCTATCCATTCGGAACAGACTGGATAGATTCCACTGGGTCTTTCGCTCCCTTCTCCCTCTCCCTCTCCCTCTCCCTCTCCCTCTCCCCCCCATCCACCGACAGCCTCGTCTAATCCCAATCCATGTAACCGCAAGCACTTCTTGAACTATTTAACCAAAACTCGCACATTTCCAATCAAGAGACACATCGCTTCTCTCCAGTACAGTTCCTTTTTTTATGCCTGATGGCCCTCCATCTCTCTCTACCTCTCTCTGTCCCAGAGACCTACAACTTGTAACCCCCTGGTAGGCAAAAGAAAGCAACCGAGGCAAGAACCGTATTGTTCTGTCAGTACCACATGGATATGATGGTATATAACGTTAGGATTGGTGCAAGTTCTCACTATTCTTCACCAAATTGCCCAAAAGAAGGGGAAAGTGCAATGAAAGAGAAAGCAATTTCCAATAAGAAGTTTCGAACTCCCCCTGTCTGATATCTTAATGTCTGCCAGCTGTACTTGACAGAAAGCACTATCCAGGGGTCGGTTTGGTTGAGAACTTGGACGTTTCATTCTAATTTCTGTTTCGAAGTATGTGTGTGATTTGTCCTTGGCTTTCATCGTAGAGAGATGGGTTTGGATATTCGATATTTGATATCCATCCACACTTCGTGTAGTTAGTTCTATTTTATTTATTTCTAGTTTATAATTGGAATCGAGAGGCTCTGTGAAATTGAAGGAGTTATATGATCAAGGTTTGGGAAAGATATATAGTGTTTCTTTGATTCTGGATACACTTGTATAGTTTAAAATTCCAGTGCATGCTGTAGGATGCTGTCGATGTGGGGCATCAATTGCTGTCCCTCCCGTCTCTGTTTCTCTTTTTGTTCAAATAATGCTGAAGAGGTAGAGAGAGCCAAAGGGAAAATTTTTAATGTCCTTGTTATTGATTGGATTGAAAACTTCGTAATACAGGGAATATTCCAGTCGTTTTGCATTGTTGAGTTTCTTTATACCTGCAAGTGTTCTTCTTGTGTTATTCTATTCCGAGATATTGCAATTTACTTAATTCCTTTTCACTTACTCCCTTCTCTTTAAATAATACACAAGTTGGAAGGAAATCAAGAAATAGATTGCAGTCTGGGGGAGTTCGGGAATAGATGTTTATCGAATGGTATAAATATAACCTTGAATATTTGAATATTAGACGTTAGAGTACCTTTCCTTCCACCATTTGCGTTTTGAATAATTTTTGTTGTCTTGCTTCGCTGTCTGTCTGTCTCTCTGTCGTGAAGTTGGAAACTGACTGTCGTTGAAACAATCTACCAATATATATTCGTATTGCTAATATCTATATTTCCCTATAATAGATCTTGGTTTCAGAAATTTTAAAGATATCTATAGGCCAAGAGAAAGCTAATGACAAAATCGTATACCAGCTTATTTACAAAACTCGTTTTTATTCCCAAATAACTATCAATTTAGAGTCTCCTCGATACAATTTAATTCAATTTAATTTAATTTAATTTATTATTATAGAGGTCTTCGTAGTATCATCTATAATATATCATTAAAAATAAAATCTTTTTAATCATGGCAAATATATTTACGAAGTCTCAGGTGCATCACCGTCACCATCAGACAATTAAGTCTGCTAAAGAAGCAGAAAATTCAAAGATAAACCACCAAGACCCTCCTAAACATGCAAGGAGGTCATCAAGACCATTCTTGGGTGTGTTAGAAGATGGCGTCCCAAATAGACGTAAAAGTATTGATCAAATGAGAAGAGAAAAGGATGCTTCATTTGAATCTATTCAGAGTTTTATCTTAGGCCAAGATATGGATTCAAGTAGAAAGAATTCCTTGATATCTTTATGCGGTCAATTTAGTCCCAATGGGGGATCCAGACATTGGAGTATAGATTCTGGGACATCTTTAGTATCAAACAGTAACCAATCAATGGCTGATTTGAAAAAATTCTTTAAAAGTCCACACCGTACCTCATCTGACAAGTCAATCAGTAGTTCAGGTGATCCAGTAAGCCCGATCCTACATGGTCATCCTTTAGAAGGTGTCACGTTGAAGTATGACGGTGAGTATAAAGCTGAATTTAACCTCAATTCAGCAGATGACAGTGGGCACTACCTTGATGCAAGTGAAACTGCAACTTCAACGTTTCATAAAGATATCATATATCAGGATGATGCCATGCTTGCTGAAAAGTATGGTATATTCGGTAAAGAATTGGGATCTGGTGCCGGTGGTTCCGTCAAAGTAATTACTAGACCAAGTGATAATGAAGTGTTTGCTGTCAAGCAATTTAGAGACAAAAAACCAAATGAATCTATGGGTTCTTACTCGAGAAAATGTATGTCAGAATATTTAATTGGTTCTACTCTACTGCATCCAAACATCGTTGAAACATTAGATATATTTTCTGATCCAAAGAATAATAAATTCTTTCAAGTCATGGAATTTTGTCCTGTTGATTTCTTTGCTGTCGTTACCAGTGGTTCGATGTCTCGTGGTGAAGTTAACTGTTGTATGAGACAGATGGCGGAGGGTGTCAAATATCTACATGATAAAGGTTTAGCTCATAGAGACTTAAAGCTTGATAATACTATGATGACCGAGGATGGTATTGTCAAGATCATTGATTTCGGTTCAGCAACAATATTTAAATACCCATTTGCAAAAAATACGATTATGGCTCATGGAATTGTAGGTAGTGATCCTTATTTAGCCCCTGAGGTTTTAACTTCAAGTTCATCTTACGAACCTGAATTTGTTGATGTTTGGTCGTTGGCTATAATATATTGTTGTATCATTTTGAAAAGATTCCCATGGAAAATTCCTCATCCAAAAATGGATGAGAATTTTAGGTTATATTCTTTACCAGATGAAATGGAACATGATTATGTTGAATCTGCTAAGATTCATGAGAGGTTATTGAAAGAAAGAGCAATGAAGAAGCATAGTGAACGTTCAGCACAACTGGAGATGGAAGTACATCATTTCCGAACTCCAAACTATAATAAGGCTGAAGATGGTGTCAATTCTCCTATAGAAGCAGATCCAAAACCAGATCATGTAACTTCATCTGGTAGTAGCAATACTGTTTATGATAAGCCGCCTGCTTATAGAGATAATGCAACCTTGCCGCATGAGCATAGTCCATTGAATTCTACTGTCAATTCATCTCGTAGAAAGTCTGGTTTAGCAAAAGATGAAACCAATTCTAGTGACAATTCAAAAACTTCAACCTCAGGTAGAAGATTCCAAGGTCCAGCTAA